CTCACCAGGGCTTTCCCCTGCCAAGGGCAGGCAGACGGGCAGGGCAGTGGCTCCTGCCCTGACCCTTCCTGTGTCGTTCGCTTTAGACACAAGAGCCAGCGAGGTGGACGACACCAGCCTGAAAGTGGAGGAACAAGCTGAGTAAGTGCCCGTCTGGCAGGGGCAGCATTGGTGCCCCAGGGCGAGACAGGAGGGAAACACCACGCAGCCTCCCTGGGCGCCTAGCTCTGACCACAAGGGCATCTGACCTCATGCCCAGTCCCTCACCCGTCCTGCTCATCACCGAGGGTGACCGCCTGTGCCTGGGATGGGCTCTCCCCTGCTCTCTGCCTCTGGTAGCCCCAAGGGCCTGATGGGCAGTCATCATAGGAGGCGAATGTGGCCTGTGGCTTCAGCAGCAACCAGGAACCGAGTCTCCCTGGCCTGTGGTCACCCTCTGCCACTCCCACCCCTGCAGCCCTGCCACAATTAAAAAGGGCCCTTTATGTGCTGAATTGGACAAGTGTACTGTGTCTTGGTCTACAGCCAAAGGGTTTGAATGTGTCTCCGGTCAATGAAGCGGCCCCTGGATCACGGTTCTGTTCATGGGGTGCAGTCTTAGTCGTAGAGCACCCTGGGGTCCTGGATGGGTCACAATGAGGAGTGCCCTCCCTAGAGTCCAGTCTTCCTCTGTCACCAAGGCCTGAGGTACATCAGGTTTTAGCTAAATTCTGCTCTTTGGAAAATGCCAGATTGTCTTTGAAAGAAAATGCATCCTATCTCCTTCCCAAATTTTATAGAGCTAGAAGTATCTGACACTCTCCCCTCCCTCACTCACTGTTTCACAACTTTCTGGATATGCCATAGAAATAAGACCCTCTAAAGGACACAAACTAATAATACAAGTGCCAAACTGAGCCCAAGCCCAGAAGCATTTGAGAGGTCTTTATTTGCCTAAGAGAAAGTGAATCCCCCCTATTTGCTACCTTGTACCCAGACAGTGTCTTAGCACAGTGCCGGGGCTCTGCCCAGCACAGGCATCTGGGCACCGCCCACACCCAGCCACACCACCCTGGCGCCCGGCGGAGCCCATGAGCCCTGGAGGGCGGGTCCCCGCCCGAGCCTCAGCCGCGGTGCCCGCTGCAGGCTCCCAGCAGCCTGCACTGGCTGCCGGCCGCGCCCCCAGAGCCTTCAGAGCTGATGTTCCAGGGGAACTTGCCTCAGATGCTAAGGGGGTATCTGAGGCTTGGACTTTTATTCTGTATTATTAGGAGAGGGATAGTGACCACCAACTCTCCTCGTATTTGAAAAATAATATTTTTTTGCCATGGTTTTTTGAAACTGGAAATATTTGCATTGATATCACAAGTCACATGAGTTTTAATTTTTAAAGATTTATATGTGGCCTTGCTTGGTCCCTTCCCCCACCTGACAGGCCACAGGGCGCCTCTCCCCCAGCACAGGAGAGGGGAGAGCCTCTGCCCCTGTCTCCCAGCTGTGGGCCATGTCTGGCGCAGGGCACTCCACAGACAGGAGCCCTCTTAAGCTGGGGGCCACACAGGGCGTGTGGCATCCTGAGGGAGGGAGAGCTCAGCACCTTCAGATGGCCCATCCAGAGGCCCCTGCCCTGAGCCAAGGCAGGCGCTTAGCGGCACCCAGCAGCGACTCCACACCGGCCCCGACCCCTCTGCAGTGTCAGTCGGCCAGCGCTGGGCTTGGTTTGACATCCAGACTGTGATTGTTCCAGGAGATGGCCGTGCACTTACATTTGTGCTCTGGCCCAAATCAAAATCCCATCTTAAAACATCAGTATTGTGAATAGTGTTGCAATAAAGATAGGAGTTCAGGTGCCCTTTTGACTTAATTTTTTGTGTCCTTGTGTAAATATCCAGGAGTGGGATTGCTGGGTCATAGGGAAGCTCCATTTTTAGTAGTTTGAGGAACCTCCACATAGCTCTTCATAGAGGTTGGACCTATTTGCATTCCCACCAGCAGGGTAGGAGAGTTCCCTTTTCTCCCCATCCTAGTCAATGTTTGTTGTGGTTTTGATTTGCATTTCCCTGACCACCAGTGGTGTTGAACATTTTTTCATATACCTGTTGGCATTTTGCATTTCCTCATTGGAGAAATACCTTTTAGCTCTTCTGCCCATTTTTTTGACTACTGGTTTACTTTGTTTTCTTTTAAATACCATCAGCTCTTTGTAGGTCTTTTTGTCAGTCCCTTATCATGAGTATTATGTAGCAAAATTTTCTCCCAACCAGTGGGTATCTCTTTGTTTTTGTTAATGTCTCTTTTGCTGTACTCACGTGCGGTTATCATCACGCCTGTGACTTAACGCCTGTGACGCCTGATGCCCGCCAGTTGTGGTTCTGCAAAATCCTAGTAAGTTCCAGAAGCTCCTCCCTAACTGGCAGCTCCACACAGATGTTGTTTCAGACTGAATGGCTAAGGCAGAAACGCAGCTGTGAACGTGTCTTCTAAGTTCCGCACAATGTGTCGAAGTGTCGCATGAGGCCAGGGAGGGAAAGGGAGGCGCTCCTGCCTCAGCATGCCCAGGGAGCCCCAGAGCGAAGTCCTGGGTGCACTTTCCCTTGTGACTCATAGCTTGAGCAGAACACAGTGGCCTGGGTGTCTGCAGTGCTCACACGCACATACACACTCATCTCAACCGGACGGGCAACGGGAGCAGGTTGCCTTCCCGCTAACCCACTCCCTGCCCCAGCCCCAAGCGAACTCCAATGATGCTTTAGGGCAGTGAAACATCCCTTCCTCAGAACAGCCTCCCAATGTGCCGTCCCAGCTAGACTGGGCCTCTAATCAGCTTCCACTGCATGGCCACTGGCTGGACTTGACGGAAAGTCTGCACTCATCCAGGGCTGCCGGCCCAGCGTCCCTGCACTCAGCTGAGTATTGGAAAGACACCCTCACACTCCGTGCCACAGGGACCTTGGAAGGACATCACATAACGCACAAGTACTCTGGCCAGGGGCTGCTCTTGCCTCTGGAGTGGGACGTTTTCAAATGTGACCGAATAACCCAAAGGGCTGCCAAGGCTCAGCGTCAGCAACGTGGAGCGGGGCAATCAGATTGGGACCTCTGGGATGGTCGAGAGGAGGCGAGAAGGAAGAGCAAGGGATCCCGGGTGTCCCAGAATAAGCACAAGGACAAGATGTGGGCACAAAGGCATGCATGAACACTTCCAGAGTGGCCAGGGGACGCCTAGCATGGGATGACCCACCAAATGTGGCCGATAACCCAAAGGGCAGCCAAGGCTTGGGATCAGCAGCATGAAGAGGGACAATCAGACTGGGACTGCTGGGATGGTCGAGAAGAGGCGAGAAGGAATAACAAAGGACTTCTGGGCATCCCAGAAGTCAAGCAAGGAATGATCTTGGAAAAGGAGTCTCTGACTGTAGGAGCTGGTGAGAGTGGCCTGAGAATAAGGTCGGGTGCTGGGGGGGGGGGGCGGAACTGCTGCACCCCCCAAGGACAGGCTGCACTGCCCTCTGTGCACACTGTGGCTTGTCTTGGCTTCAGGTCCAGCACCTCTTTGGGTTCACTTCAGGGCCCCTCAGACTGTGGGGACCTATCTAGCATCATCCTCATAACAAGACGTTATCGAGACCCTCCTGGAGGGTGCCCACCCCCCACACACCTCAGCTGGCATGGCATGGGCAAGCCAGGCAGCCAGGCAGGCGGTGGCAACCCTGAAACCCCTGCCAGTAAGCGCACCTCAGCCCGGGCCCCGCGGGGTCCCAAAGAGAGTGGTCACTCAACGACTGGAAGCCCTTTATCAGCTCGTGTGACCGGGGAAAGGTCAGTCCTCCTCTTTTGATGGCAGACGCCTGGTGCCCAGTTCTCACAGAGGCTCTGGCACAGCTGCTTGCCCAGGGCACGCTGCCTCCCGCCCTTCTACACACTGGCCCAGCTCCTCTCCCACCCACCTCAGCCCACACTTCCAGTAGGAACAGCTCCGGGGTGCTGTGAGTGTGGAGCAAAGAGCACTGTAGCCAGTGCCAGGAAACTGGGGTGACTGGCATCACAGGGACAATTCTTAATCTGGTCTCCTGGGAGAGTTCACTGGCTGTGTGGCAATCCTGCCACGGTAGGGATGTTTTCACTCAGTCTCTAGGGGCTGTGGTTCTGGATGCCCCGTGGGAGCCTCCCCAGGACTGAGGGCTACCAGGGAGTCCCTGAGGCAAGATGCTGATCGGCCCTGAAGGGCAGGCTACTCGGTGGTGGGAGACAGCTGTGCTCTGAACACTCTAGGCAGGGCCCCAGGGCGGGCAAAATCCAAGAAGGAAAGAACTAACCTCTCCCAGGAAAATTTCTCCTCCCCTTAGCAGCTAGCATCCCCGGAAGGGCCAACGCACAGCAGGCCTGGCAAGTCAGAGGCCTAAGGAGTTAGAACTCACTTCTCACAAGAAGTGTGATTGGTGGGAATTGCCCATGCACGGAGCCTCCGTTTCTTACCACAGTGCATGGGACACATACCTGCTTCTTTGGGCTGTGGCCGGGATCAAAGGGGAGCAAGTTCACGGAGTGATCTAAGAGGCATCCAGACACAGAGGCACCCTGAAGAATGGAAGCTGCTATTCCTTCAGTTCCTTTGCCAAGCTCCCTACCGCAGTGTTAATTGTTAGCCCTGCAACAAATGAAAGGGGTCCATGGTGTCCTTTAAAACCATGTGAAACTACAGTCATGTTTACCGAGTGGGGCTTTGAAAGGCTAGCACTCAGAATTTCCAGTCTGCATGGCAGCCACAGCCCAAACATTTGGCAGTGAGCGGAGTAATTTCACAGGGCAGGCCCAGGCGGTGCTGGGTGGGGCCTGGGAGCCAAGGAGGGATCAGTAGCCTGGCAGAGCCAGAGGGGAAGGGGAGGGGTAAGGGGAAAGGTTGGGCTGGGTGGGGCCTGGGAGCCAGAGGGACCCTGTAGCCAGGCAGAGCCAGAGGGGAAGGGGAGGGAGAAGGGGCAGGGCTGGAGCTGGGTGGGGCCTGGGGCCTGCTTGCACCGCCACACCCAGGTGCCAGCGGACTGCACATCTGTGTGGAGCTGCGACCCAACACGGAGTCTGCACTGAAAGGGGCACACCTGACCAGCACACCTTCATCTCCCCAGGAAAGGCAGCCACAAAGAGGACGCAATGGCCTGGTGGAAAGCCTGGGTGAGTTCGGAACAAGTAGAGGTGGGCAGCTCCTTTTCTGTAGAGAGAAGCCAGCTCAGTCATGTCCCTGCTGGCCTGTCTAGCCAAGCCGCAGGCTGTCCAATGGGGAGGCAGAGAGAAGAAACTCCCAGCCCCGGAGGCATTCATGGCCAGGGGACCAGGGACAGGAAAAAGGAGACAAGAGGGAAAGGAACCCTGAAGCTGAGGGGCTGGCGGGGCTTGAAGGAGGAGACCCCTCAGGGTGGAGTCAGGCTGCTCCAAGCTGTCGTGTGACGTGTGTGTGTGTGTGTGTGTGTGTACACGTGTGTTTGGGGACAATAAGGCAGAAGTTTCTTGCAGAGGAATGCTACACGAAAGTTTCAAAAGAATGGGAAGCCAGGCTTTGAAGGCGAGTACCTCAATAGAACTCGGGCCCTGGGTGGGAGGGCAGAGGCTAGTGAGACAGGTGTCTAGAGAAGCAGGCAGTGCCAGGTCATAAAAAGGCTCACGCGGCATGCTAAGGAGCTTGGACTTCCCCTTCGAGCAACTGGGAGCCACTGACGGGTCTTGAGCTGGAGAGCAACCGGATTGACTCGTGTGGTGGTGTAGAACTCATCAGCGCCCACTCCTCAGACCATGAAAGGTGGGCGGCCTCCAAGGATCAGTGGTGTTGATTTGTCAGGGTTGGAGAGGACCTGACCCCCCGAGGGCTTAGGTGGCTTTATAGATTCATGCTTTATAGATTATGACTAGTTGGGGTGCCTTTCCCCAAGTCACCCGTGGTCCCAGTGAGTTGTCAGATTCTCATCTGCGTTGAAGTCCAAGGCTACCTCATGCTACAGAGTTGAAAGCACAAGAGGGGAATGAGAGGATGACCAGGTGACAGCTCCCCGGCAGGTACAATGCCCCCGGCTCTGCTCACCTTCCTTCACTTTGACCCCGAGCAGCCTGAGCTGTCCTTTCCATCTGACACACGAGGAACTTGAGCTCAGAGACGTCCAGTGACGTGCTCCGGACACAGCTAGCCGGCGGGCGGGTCTAGCAGGAACTCTCTGTCTCAGCCCCGGGGTCTCTGTGAACCTCAAGCCACAGACGAGGAAACCAAGACACACGGAGACGAAGTGGGTGTCCAAGGTTACCACACTCATGTAAATGCTAAAGCTTGGATTAGACTCTGAGCAGCCTCACTCCAGAAACCAAACTCTGGACCTCAGTTCCCATGATCCATAGGCGAGCTGGCTGGGAGCAGCAAGCACACAGGCTGACCCCACCTATTGTTGGCTGAGCTGCCAGGGAGGGCCCAGTGTCTTCTGGGCACCAGGTTGGCCCGAGTCCAGCGCTGGGTGGGGAGGAAAGGTGAGCTAGTGGGGACCCATGTGCGGGGTGGGGTGTGGCCTTTTCTGCGCCTCTCTTGTGGGGATGACATTCTGTCTCCCAGGTTCTCTGGGGCAGCGCCGTGATGGTGGAAGCCAAAGGTGATGTGGCCCCCCTTGACCGCCACGTCATGTGTTGGAAATGTAAAGTTAGAGGCTGGGCTGAGTCACTTTTCGTGAAACTGTAGCTGCCGGGACCAGCAAGGCCCAGCAGGAGCCAAAGAAGCCCTTTCTCCAACCTCTAGGATATCTCACATGGGAAGATCCAGTGCTCCATTCCTCCATGCTGATGTAAGGAGTCTGAGAACCTGAAAACTGTCCCTGTTACCCCCTAAAACCAGGAAGCAGAAAGTGAGGTCAAGATCTCCCAGTGCAGTGAAATCCCAACTTCCAGGGAGCTATTTGATCACTCAGCCACTCCATGGCCAGTCGGACACACATGCCCCCATCACTGCTGCACAGCTCCCGAATGGCTACTTGGGGGAGAGAAAAGGCCCCTCGTGGTGACCCCCAGGGCTGGGCAGAGAGCTGAGGTACCCCCACACACTCTCAGATGACCGCATTCCTGTGGGCAGGCTTCCTTCACTGAAGAGTTCCAAAAAGGTTCATTGTCTGCGAAAAGTTGAGTCATCAATAGACAGCTCAGCTTCTGAGTCAGGCTGTGGGGTGAGTCCTGGCACCCCTGCTTACTAGCTGTGTGATTTGGCAAGTGCTCCAAGCCCAGCTCCTTTGCCTGTAAAGTCTCCCCAGTGCAGCTCTCCCGGGGTGTGGCAACCGAGGCACACAAGGTTTGGACTCTGGAGAGAGGCTGCCCAGATTCTAGCCCAGACTGCCACTCGCTAAGGACATTCAGAAGAGGTCAGGGGAGCGAGCGCCGAAATGCCGTCCTGGACATGGGAGGAGCTCAAATCACCAGCAGAAGCGAGCAGTTCATTACCCCTCAACAAGGGATACAAGGCCGGCACCCTCTCAGTTAAGTGACTCGGGGCCTCACAGGCTCTCTGGATGCAATTTCCACAAAGAACAACTTCTGCTACGAAACACAGTGCTAAAAAAGAGATGGGAAATCCTGACAGCAAGACTTGAAATTCAACCAAAAGGCATGAGAGACTTCTTGGTCAAAATAAATATCCTCCAGATACACCATGGGTGGAAATCTGGCGTGCATTTTTTAGGATCTAAACAAGGACTTGGATGGAAGGGAGGGAGAAGTGGAAAGAGGACGAGACAGAACAGACCGTGGAGGAAAGGGCTGGTGGGTGGGAGCATGGGTAAGCGTCAGAGTAAGTGAGGAACAGAAAGAAATGGTAGATGAACAAGGTAGGGAGGTTTAGACTCTTCAGCTAAATTCCTTCACATTTGCGGGATCTCTGAACTTCCATTAAGTCCAGTGCCCAGCTCCAAGGTCTTTCCACTCCTCAACCTTTCTTCTCCCAAAGACGGATCATTCATTCGCGTCGAAGAACATCTGCAGAACCCAAATCTAAAGGTTCCCAGGCACGCCCTGGGTCAGAGTACTGGATCTGGATGATCTGGTAGTTTGGTTAACTGATTCATTCCACAATTTTCAAAACATTGTACGGCGCTTTCTTGACCTAAACTCTTGAGCCCTACTTCATCCCTTGAGCTTCTGGATTTCCCTTGGGCTCCCGAGATGCCAGAAGGCTCAGCAAAATGCCTGGTCCTCTCTCTTCTTGTAAGCACAGCAGGTCCTCGATTCACAGCCTTTCTCCGTCTCTTTGTACAAAGTCAGTGAGGGGGGGGCGGAAAAATCTGATAATTAACAAAATATTATTCACGATCCACTCCCATTACATGTAGCTTAACTTCAAGTTGTAGTTCCCAATAACCTGTTGACAACTTTGAGTGAGGACTTCCTGTACCCAGGCCAGAAGGAGGGCGGCTGGAGCGCAAACCTTGCCCACCTCGTTCCCGTGCCTTCCCTGCTCTCTGCGGTCTGCACTGCTCCTTATCCTCGAGCCCTGGGTGTTTGTCCTTTCCTGCCCAAGGAACTGGAGGGGGTCTGTGTGGCCCGGGCTGCAACTTGCCCTCAGGTGCCCTTGGCCAGGGACCTGGCCTGATCGAGCTTCCCACCCCATGGCAGGGGATGGACAGGAGGCCCTGTGGCTCTTCCTGCAAGCTGTGCTTCCCACTGGCACCACTGCAGTACCCCAGGGCGTCTCTGCACAGGGGACTTCCTGGGCCCCGTGAGCCACAAGGAAGCAGTGGCTCTCACAGCCAGGCCAGCTGCCTCTCGGATCGCCTCCCCTTCCTCACTCATCAAGTGGATCTCTGTGCGCTGATCCCCCACCCCCAACCCAGTGACTGCCCTAAGTCCCAGCCACCTCAGACTCAGGGCCACCATCGCCCGCAAAACCCCACAAGAGCCTCCTCCCATGAGGTCTGTGCATTCCCACTCTCCCTCACAGCCACAGTGCCCCGACTTTGCCCAAGCTCCCACCACCCCAGAGTCATCTCCCCAACTCAGGAAGCTCATCACAGAAGACCCTAGAAGGTGGAGAGAGGGAAAACTACAGCTCAGACAGGATGCTCCAAAGACAACCAATGGATGGGAGCACAGAATCGGTTTCTGGACTCTGATGGATGATTGCCTTCAGCACCTCAACCCCAAGCACCAGCTGGTTGTTTTGTGGGCTGCCCCTTCCCAGGACTCCCCCAGTTCTTCCCTCCTCCTTGCTTCCAGCACCAGAGGTTGCTGTCCGAGGCTGAGACTCCCCACTCCCCGCCCTCAGTAAGCCTGGTGGCGCAGGAAGGAGCACAGTGTCCACACCGCAGGTTTGGCTCTGGGGTGCCCTCTTTCAGGGTGGTGCTCCCCTGCTCAGCCCTGTCCCATCCTCCTCAGGAGGTGCCTCCTGCTAGCCTGAGGGCTGAGTGGGCAGGACAGGCCGCCTCCTGGCCAAGATGGCTCATGGGCACATGGGGCCTCAGAGACTGACAGGAGGGTCACAGGGCATCTTGGAGCAGACAGACAAAGACACCTATCTTAGCACATAGGCTGGAAACTCCTAGCCAGAAGCTTGATTCTGGACCAGGAAGGGCTTCCAGACTCTCCCTCACCCAAGGGGAACTTGCAGGGAGAGAAAAACCAGGCCTGCCCAGGGGGACTGGCGGCTCAGCCACTGGCCGGCAAGGCCCACACAGTGTCCATCCTGCCTGGTGGCTGCAAGGTGGGCTGGGAGCCCGCACTGCCTTCCCCACCCGCTCTCAGAGCCCTGGGTTCTCTTGCAGATTGAACAGGAGGGTGTGTCAGTGAAGGGCAGCCCCCACTTCAACCCAGACCCGGATGCAGAGACCCTCTACAAAGCCATGAAGGGCATCGGTGAGTTGGCGCCCAGTCTGCCCTGGCAACACTGTGAGTGAAGCCTCAGGCCTCCTGCTCACAGACCTGGAGAGGGGAAGCCGGTCTGCCAAAGAGTCTCCCTGTAACCTTCTGAGACCACCCCTCCCCCCACAGAGAATCACAAGGATCTCCCTCACCTTCTCCAGGACTTACCCTCCAAGAATGGGGGCAGCACAATGCCCCCCCCCATGAATAATGGGAGGAGACCCCAAGGCATCTACTGGGGGTGCAGTATACTCTGAGCCCGCATCTTCACCCGGCTCAGGATGGGCTTTGTCACTCACAATAGGCCCCCAAGAAGTTGGCTCTGCAGGCCACTGTGACTTTGGGGTGGGAGGATGCTGGCATGGCATCTGGACGGAGGAGGTGGCATTTTCTAAGGACTGGATCCTCGCAGAGCCATCAGCGGCAGAGGTTCTGTGAGATTTCCCCTTCCCCACATTGGCTGGCCCCTCCTTCCATTCTCAAGTACCGATTTCCCATGTGCTATGAGCTGACCTGGGCCCTTGGGATTTGCAAAGCTGACTCAGAGCCCCCTGCTACTGGTACCCCAGGGGGGATTTCCTCAGCATAGCTCTGGAATGGCCAGTGGAGCACTAACAAGAAGCAGCTTTCTAGAAGAATGAAGAACGCAGGTTCATTTCCTGAACTTCCCTCCCATCCAAGCTTCACTGTTACCTCCAGACCGCAGATGAGAAAGCAGAGCCAGGGGTCAGGCTGCTGGGGGGAGCTCACACCCCGTGTCCCGGCCCTGACCTGCCCTGCTGCCGCCCGCAAACCGGCCAGGGCAGGGGCCTCACTCTCCCGCTCTGAAGGCCTCGGCCATGTCCAGAGCAGACCAGGTGAGCGGCGGGTCCTCCCACCCGGCACTGTGGTCTGGGCCTGCGCCCGCCTGAGCGAAGGGTGCTGGAGGGCCGTGGAAGGAAGGAAGTTCTGTCTGGGTGTCCGGTCTGCGCTGTGAACACTGTCAGGTCTCAGAGCAGCGCAGGCGGTGGGTCCCCATGGCGGAGCCAACTAGCAGCTGCCCGCCCTCCTCTGAGGCTCCCCAGCACCCCCTCCACGGGGCAGGGGCTGCTCTCACTGTGCACCCCTACAGGGACCAACGAGCAGGCCATCACCGACGTACTCACGCGGAGAAGCAACGAGCAGCGGCAGCAGATTGCCAAGTCCTTCAAGGCTCAGTTCGGCAAGGTACGGGGTGCTGGGGTGCGGGGGCTCAGGGGGGCAGGTCAGCTGGGCCTGGGGCAATCGGCTGCCAGAGATCACCTAGGTCGCAGCTCCGTTCTGGGGGAGGGACTTATCTGGGCCGCTGGAACGTGGCCTTACAGGACATAGTTACACTAACTAGGTGATGCACGTTGAACTCAAATTCGAAATGAGCTAGCTGCCTTGTGCTTTAGGGGACAACTTCCTGATGGCCGCCCACACCCCCTGGGTCTCCTGTCACTTGACCACCCTCCCTGCCCACCTTCTCTCTGTGCCTGTCACCTTCACCCACACACACACCCTCTCTTTGAGCTGTGTCCTGTGCGGGATTTGCTCTCCTGCTCTCAGACCTGAGTTCCCTTCCCTTTCTCACTCCCGGAGACACGGTGGTGTTTCCTGGGGCGCGGGGGCCCGGAGCTCAGTGCTCACACTGGGGCTACTTGTGCCCTCCGCCTGGGCCCCATCCTTCAGGGGTGGTGGTGGAGAAGCTCAGGACGGAGGGTCCAGGAAACTGGCCCTGTGTGGGCCTCATGTGCCCACCACACAGCCTGGAGACTTGGGGTCCCCTCTCTCCCCCACCCCCACTGCTGTGCCAGGCCTTGGGGTGCCAGGAGAATGGGGACCAGTAGGCAGAGGAGCACAGCCTGGAGCCTCCCCTCGTTCATCACTTGCTGGGGTCGTAACATGGGAGATGAGCCTGAACCCCACATTCCATGGCAGAAGCCAAAGTGCCACGTGACCGGGCTTCGCGGGGCAGCACGGTGCCCTGTGTCCGGGCTCGGGCTGTGCCAGGGCAGCCTGAGGGCCCAGCTGAGCCGCGCATGTCCCCGCAGCCCCTCAGCAAGCAGCTCGGTGTGAAGCGCGTCGTCCTACCCACTGGGTTGCTGATGCCTGGTGAGGCCGAGTGTCTGGCCCGGGAGACCTCGCCGGCACCAGAGAGGGCAGAGCCCCCAGGGGAACCCAGCCACAGTCTCTGCTCTCACCCCACCCCCACTCAGTGGGTGCAACCCACAGAGCCTCATCCTCCTGGTTCCGCACTAGGACCTCACCGAGACCTTGAGCTCAGAGCTGAGTGGCAAGTTCGAGAGACTCATCACGGCCCTCATGTGTCCGCCATACAGATACGAAGCCAAGGAGCTGCACGATGCCATGAAGGTAACGAAGCAGGTGGGGTAGCAGACAGGGACTCGGCTCCTTTCCCAAGACAGCCTGGCACTGGGAGCTCTGGGGTGCAGAGCTGAGATGGAGGCTTCCCGTCACACCTCTGTCCACAGTCGGGGTGCCCGGGCAGCTCCTCCAGCAGACCCCACAGGGTGGGGCCGTGCAGCGCCAGTCCTGCCTGTGTCAGGCCTCCTGACCAGGAGGGTGTGCAGGAGCCGAATGGCTCAGGCTTCCGGCACACACAAGCTTTATCCCCAGGGCTTAGGAACCAAAGAGGGCGTCATCATCGAGATCCTGGCTTCCAGAACCAAGAACCAGCTGCGGGAGATAATGAAGGCCTATGAGGAGGGTAAGGGGGCTGAGGCCAAGGCTCACTTGGGAATGGCCACGAGTTCGGTGGCCTCGCAGGGGCCAAGGGACAAGCAGTGTGCTGGGCCACGGTGGCAAGGGACCCTGTCTCGGCTTCTCCGCATAGGAGTGCTGAGCTCCTACTGCGTGCCAGGCTCTGCCTGAGGGCGAGATTAGACATGAAAGAGTTCACTCCCTAAACCCCAAATGCTCAAGAGGGGTGTGCAGCCACTAAGCTCTGACCCTCAGGGTGTGCTGACACAGGGTGTGCTGGCCACATCGGCAGTGCACAAGGCCAGCTCCTGCCTGGCCAACACAGAACGTCCAGGGCTGACACAAGCCGCCCACCAAGGCCTCACTGCAGTGGGGCACAGCCAAGGTGCAGCCCACAGGCCAGCTACACTGAGGTGTGCAGTGAAAGGGGAGCGAAACCAGGCCCTGCCGCAGGGTGAGCTGGTGGAGAGCTGCCGAAGACCTGTGGCTCTACCACACTGGAACCTGGGCACAGCTTGGGCAGTCCAGGCTGGGCTCTCTCGCCCGACCATTTCGTGCCTCAAGTGCGTGACTGCACACCATGTACTGGTTCTGAACTACCAGGGGTGATGGTACCTCTGCGCCTCAGACAACCGGGCGCTGCGTCCACTCCCCACGCCAGGGACTCATCCTTCTTAGAAGACTTGAATCAGAAAAGTGGGGGAAACAAACTAGGAGGAGGAAAACTGGTCCTGTTCCCCTGCAGAATACGGGTCCAGACTGGAGGAAGACATTCAGGCAGACACGAGCGGCTACCTGGAGAGGATCCTGGTGTGCCTCCTGCAGGTATCAGCTCTAGCTCCTCAGAGTTCCATTCTGGGGGACCCCAAAGATCCACCCCAGAGCTCACCTCTTCTTCCAAGCCGGTGGGAGGTGGAGAGGGGAGGAGAGGGGCAGGCTGGGGGATAACCCAGCTCAGTGCCTGTGTTCATAGAAGACACATGTGTGGTTGGACAGTCCTGCTGAGAACCCACACCTCTCCTGACACTGCCACATAAGGGCACCCCCAAGCGCAGGAGAACGCCCCTCACTCAGTAGGACCTTCATGCCCACATTGCTTCCCTAAGCTCCCAGAGTGCCCCAGTTCCCCACGAGGCGGGGAGAGGTAGCCAGCGTGCAGCCTGCAGAGCCCACACTGCCCTCCTGCCTGGCTCCCAGACAGCTCTGAGAACCAGCCCGCAGGCAGAGCCCCCTCTTCTGTTCCTAGGGCAGCAGGGATGACGTGAGTGGCTTCGTGGACCCTGGACTGGCCCTCCAAGATGCACAGGTGAGGCTACACCCTCAGCGGGTCCAGCCCTGGTAACCAAGTGCCCCTTAACCCCTGCTTATAGACTCGGGGACTGACACCTGGAAGCTTCACCCAAGCCCTCTGCCCACCGTGGTTTCCTCCAATGCTAGGCTGGCACTCAGCTCAGTTTTCTACAGGCTCTTTCCCTGGGGAGACTCAAAACCAGCAAGGAGGGTGACTTGCGTGGGTTCACTATAGCTCCATCTTGGCAAGAACAGCCCCCATGAACCTGGAGACCCTGGGCCTCCGAGGTGTGGATTCAGCTCTCTGCTACTCTGCTGGCAGGATGCTCGGGGGGCAGAGCAAAGTGCCACAGGTGGAGGACTAAGGTCCCTGGAGCAGTTTCTGACTCAGGATAGAATGTAACCACTACAGGACAGCAAGCACCCCATGGGAGGCACCACTTAGCAGAGGCCGGGCTGACCTGCAGGGTGCAGGGGAACTCATCCTTCAGCCCCAGCTCTGGGACACAGGGCTCTGTCCCTCACCTCCCTGCTCTCTGTCACTGGCACTGGGTGTCCATTGCCAGGATCTGTATGCAGCTGGCGAGAAGATTCACGGGACAGACGAGATGAAATTCATCACCATCCTGTGCACACGCAGCGCCACGCACCTGCTGAGAGGTACCAGAGCCGGAAGGCAAGGCCGTCAGGGCCACAGGGCTGCCCTGGCCTCAGACCCTGCCCTCCATGCTGAGCAGTGGGCAGGGGTGAGGGCCAGGGAGTCCCGGGCCTTTCCCAGCCACCAAGTGGAGGTGGGGTGGGACACTGAAGCGCCATCTCTGATCAGAGATGCTGGGGGCATCTCAGTGAGATCCAGCTGTCCCCTAAGAGAAGTCCTCTCTCCCAGTGTTTGAGGAATATGAGAAAATTGCCAACAAGAGCATTGAAGACAGCATCAGGAGTGAGACGCACGGCTCGCTGGAGGAGGCCATGCTCACCGTTGGTAAGAGATGGGGTCGGAGCTCAGATCCCAAGTGTCTGTGAGTCTAGGGGCTCCGCGGTGATACAGCACCAGAAGGAGAAGGGCCCAGGGTGATAACAAGAAGTAACTGGGTTCCTCTGTTCACTTTAAGCCCCTCCCATCCCCGCATCCAACCCACACCCCCAGCCTGTAACCTTCAGGCCTGGACACTGGGTCTATTCTTCCACCGTGGGCTCCCGTGTGCCTCCAGCACTGTGTTCTGCCCTGCCCACGTCATGCCCAGTGCTGCGGAGTCAGTGTGTGAGTACAGGAGACTGTGGTGTGTGTGCACACACCAGGGCTGCCCCAGACCCAGGCCTGCCACAAGGGTACATTCTGGTTCCGAATGTGAAGGCCCACGAAAGGTCGCCTCTCTCGCTCTGCCTCTTCTGCTATTCAAGACAACAGGTAGCTTGAGTATAAACTGAGTGACTGATGGTCTGACACTGGGGAACACTGAGAACCTTTCCCAGAGCATGAGATCAAGTCCACCTGCAGGGCCCATTTGGGGTTCAGACCTGACATCACATGAGACGATCCATTGCAGAGTCCAGAATTGAGACTTCCACTCTCTTTCTTCCGTGATGAAGCCAGGGTCAGGGCCCCAGGGTCGGGGCACACCCCTCCACAACAGACTCTCCCCAGTGCCCAGCAGCCAGGGCATCTCTGTGATGTGACTCAGTCGCCCAGGGAGGGCTAGGACACTTGAGCCCCTCCAACCCCCGGCAGCTTTGACTCCCTGTTCCACTCTCGACTCTAAAGTCAGCCCCTTTGTCTGGTTTGAACAATCTCCGGAATAAACTCTTCAGGCAGGACAAAGTGAAGGTGAGGATTCGAGCACTTCCTATCCCTTCCCTCACAGGGGTTCATGCCATTCAGTTCACAGATGAGGACAGAGCCAGGCAAGGTGTTAAGTAAGAAATCACATGGCACGCCTGAAGTGGGGTTTGAACACAGGCCTTCCCGGCTCCAAGTGATGCTTTGTGCTGCCAGGGTCCAGAAACCCGCTTCCCCCACCAGATGCTCAGTCTTGGAAGCAGCCCAATGGGCTGGACACTCCTGCGCTTTTACCCCACAGCCGAGCCCAACCTGGCAAGGGTGGTGCAAACTGCAGTGGCCTTGCTGAGGAGTAACACGTAAAGTGGGCTCGGTGGCCAGAACTGTGGCTCCTCTGCGGAGCTGGGCGACTGGATGCTGGATGCTCTCAGGGGCGCACAGGGCTTTCTTTGGCCAGACTGATGCTGCTGGGCCCAGGGCACTGCATGCCTCCCTGGCTCTCTGCTTTGGGCCTTTCCACCGGTGCGGGTGCCGCAGGCTGCCTTCCTGCCCCGCCCCGCCCCACCCCCCACCCACTCCCCCAACCCCCTCAACCGACACAAGGCCTCTCTTTGATAACTGGGCAGGGCATGCACATATATGCCAGGACTTGCACAATGCTACCCCCTCAGTCCCGAAACCAGACGTTAGTAAGCACGCATGTACACGTGCTGCCTACAGCCCCAGCTTTAACACAGCTTTCCTGTTCACCAGTGAAGTGCACCCGGAACATCCACAGCTACTTTGCGGAGCGGCTTCACTACGCCATGAAGGTGACTTGTGTCTTCTGCCCCTTTCCTCCCTCCTTCCCGGCCCCACCCGACACCAATGCACACCCCCGAGCTAAGAGTCACGGACATCCCCACACTTGGATCTTCCCTTATCCCCATCTCTTGTGATCGGTGAATAAGGTGGTGTTGGTTGTCAGAGGGCAGATTTGTGTGGGCATGAGAAGCCGCTTCTACTGAGGCTGGATTCCAGTGGGTGCTTCCCCAGGTGTTCACTAGACTGAGCCTTTACAGTCCTGTGAACCCGTGTCGTAGGTGCCGTCCTAGACATAGAGAAACTGAAGCTTGTGGTTAAGGCCATCCCGCTGATGTGCGACAGACAGAGACTTGATTTGAGCCCAAGCTAATGGAGCCGCCCTGCTCATGCCCCCAGGTGGCTTTCTTGAGAGAGCACAGGTCATGACTGCTAGGAAGTCCAGGCCCCCTTTGAACAGACAAGTCGGGTGGGAGATGGCCCCACGCAGCGGCCCCACTTTCCTGTGCATGCCAGCCTTAATGTGGGTCTGTCTGTTGTCCAAACAGCTTCTCTATCCACTCAAAGAGATATCCAAGTCACTCATATCAGGGGAAATTTCCGATCTAGGGAACCAAATTGGAAGGCAGACATTGAACGTAACTCCCAAGACTCCCGAGTCGGTACCAGATTCTCCATTTTGGGGTGTGGACAGCACCGAAGCCAAGAAGCACAAGCTCTCCGGGGAGGACATGAGAAGGCATCGACTCCCTTGGCCACGTGGCTCCATCTGACATGTGACTGGTCAAGGTTCAACGAGCAGGAAGTTCCTGCCTTGGAGTTGGCCTGTTAAGTTGAATGTCATGACGATGCTGCCCTAGGAAGTAGTCTTATGCCTGGAGCAGCGAGTATTTTGTGTCTGGAATCTGAGCCAAACACAAACTACAATTTGGGGCCTTTATCTTCTAATAAAGGAAGAGATGTAGGGAGAAGAGATTAGGGAATGGAAATCCCGCACCACCAAGGCATCCCTCTTTGTGCTGAAACCTGCTTTAGCAGGGGTTCATTCCTACGTCTCTGCCCCTACCATGAGCTCAGAGCACAGATTTGTCCATCATCACAAAGAAGCACCAGAAAGTTGGGCAGTGGTCACTGATGGCTGTGTCTTATGCAGGGAGCAGGGACACGTGATGGGACCCTGATAAGAAACATCGTTTCAAGGAGCGAGATTGATTTGAATCTGATCAAGGGTCAGTTCAAGAAGATGTATGGCAAGACCCTCAGCAGCATGATAATGGTAAGCCATGAGTCCCCGGTTTTAGCATCAGTTTGAAAGAGACCTTATTGGGTGACCAATGTCACAAGTCACAGGTACCCATCTTTCCCTGTGGACGTCACATTCTTGCATTCATTGCCATGTGGTAGGGAAAGGGATTAGCAAGCAGGTCAGGGGGACTGGGGCAGGAGGGAGAGCCAGACAGAGATCAGATTGTGGGGACCCTTTATAGTCCTTGCCTAGGAAGTTGGCTTTGCAGTTGACTTATGCATGCACCTTTGAAAAATAACACTCTAAACCTTGCAAAAAGAATGATACCTAAACAGTCATTGAGAGTAAACAGTAAAAGTTAAGGTCCAGCATTCAAGTCCCGATTTAAGTAGTCCTGACAGCAGATTTTAAAGCAGATAAATCAGATGGGCTCCAGTGGGTTGCCCAACCAGATTCCAGTAGTGAAAGTTCTGAAGTTGAAAAAAGTACACAGTGAAGCTCACACTTCTATCTGGAGAGAAACCGCTCTTCTGGCAATTAATACAAATCAAGGCCTTGATAATTTTGTTAACAGAAGAAGAATCATGAGAAATATCCCCCTAAGTCTTCGCTGGTTAAGTTTCTAGTTATGCTACAAAGGTCTTTTGATAACTGTATTTTGCAAGGAATACATAGCTTGCAATATGTTAAAAAAAAAAAAAAAGGCACATGTCTCAGGATGTTTCAGAGTGGAACACTACAAAGACCAAGCGTTTTGGTTCTCCAGTCAGGTGTGGCAAGGGCCAGGAGGGCCAGCACACACCCACCCAGGCAACTGCTGTGTCAGCTCGGGGGAGGCTTTGCCAACAGGCAGTCCAGCCATGTGTCATGAGGTCCTTCGATCACGTATGCCTTCCAGGACATCAGAGAATATTTTAGAACTTCTCATCCGTCCAGTTAGAGCCACAATCATATTTCAGAAAAAAAAAAAAAAACCACTATTGAGTGAAAATGATCACTTTGACCCATCAAAATCCTAGACCTGCTGATGAAGATTAAGCAAGCTAGTTAGCACATTGTCAATAATGCTGCCCCTTATCTAGTCCCTTAGCGAGATACACATGAAGTCCAAGCCTTTGTGTCACCTAAGAAAAATTAGCTGAAATTATGAATAATGGACCAAATATTTTCTCTATAGTACAGACCATGCTGAAGATGTCATCAAAACAAAGATTATTTCCAACAGTGATAACATTAAACACCTGCATAGAAATTAATACAAAAAAATGTGTAATTCTGTGTACCCATACATTTGGAAAGGTAGACAAGATGGTGCTCTAAAAACAAGCTGTATTTTTAAAATTATCTCATAAGTAGTAAAAAGGGAAAAGAAATTTAAAATGTTTTTAAAAATCTATAGGAAACTTCAAATCCAAATGATTTTATAAGCAAATGGAACTGAGCAGTTAATCCCCATGAGTCATAAACTCCTCTAGGTCCGAGAAAACCAGAACTAACCTCAACCCTACCTCTTACTCCCTGGGTGGCCTTGGATAAATCCCTTCCTCTCTTTGGTCCCATTTCTCTGAACCACGTGAAAAGGAGGCTGGATGACGTGGCCTCTCCTGTTCCCCTGGCTCTTGTACAGACCCTTGACCGAATCTTATTAAGACTTGCTTGAGAGCTAAGCAGACTTGGTAAACCATAGAAATGGGGTTCAGTGATTGGACCCGTGGGAGGTGATGACTGCTTGGCCCCGTTGTGAGCAGCTGCTCTGCAGTCAAGCTTACCTTTCTCCTGCCCCTCTCAACACAACAGTCTTCATATCATCATTGACATCATCTGAGAGGAGAGGGCCGGTCTCAGCGCAGTGCAGAGACTTGCTACAGTGGCAGGGCCAGGGAATGAGGGAGCTGTGGGCCAGATGTGTGGTCCAAAGCCCAAGCTCCCTCCACCTGCACCTCCGCCTCCAGAATGTCCCCAGCACCCTGCTCAGGCCCATAATCTCCAACAGTAGACTTGAATAAGTGATGGAAAAGTGGGTGACTGAAAGTACTTTGATCCCAAAAGGGCTATAGAGAAGACCCCGGGGGCAGGAGAGGGAGCCACCCAGACACCTTCATATCTCAAGAGCAGTGCTGTCGCTGTGATTCATATTTTGCATAAAGTCCCACCCCGCCCCCGCCCCAGTTTTCAGTGAGAAAATCAAAAGGAGGTTGTACGGAATGGCCTGAAATGGAAAGCCAGGAAAGATGGGTGGCACAGGGCAGGCCTTGTGCGCAGGAAATTACACAGGGACGCCGCTTCATGACTCTCAGTACTAAGAGCAGCTGCTCTCGATGGAGGTGACTCCCAGCCAGGCTGACATCACAGCACCCCCTTCTAACTCTCCTGTCCCTCCCCTCCACAGGGAGACACCAGCGGCGACTACAAGAACGCCCTGTTGAACCTGGTGGGCAGCGACTCTTGAAAGTTCAGACAAGAACAAAGCCAAGAAGCTGGAACCATCTAGTTCTGCTTATTCGACCTTGGTCACAGATGGGGTGGGGGGTGGGAGGGAGAACAGGGGACGCAGCAAGTCTTTCAGTCTTCTATCTCCAGCTTCCAGTACTTTCCAATCCATTTTTCAGGCCCAAGGGGAGGAATCAGCCCAAGGCACCTCCCTCCACAGTCATCGCAAGCCAGTTCCTGTGTGAGCACATTCACCTGTCTCTATCGAACAAACACCCGGGTATGAAAGGCCTGCAGGGGTTTCAGGTCGCCTCTTCCTCCCTACACTGAGCTCCCCAAGATTATCTAGTCACAGAGTCACCTGAGCACAAGCTATACAGATACCTGGCTACACTCCATCTACTAGTCCACACCTGCAGGGAAGATCCAAAGAGTAGGAGCTTAGATAAGCATCTCAGCTCCCTCCTGCATGACCAATGGGAAAGCCTGTTTATTTCAAAGAATACATCTGTAGCAGCCGGGGAAGGAAAACATTTAACCAGGCCAACCAGATGCCACCAACAGTCACCTTGAGATGTCGGGAGTTGGGTCCAAGAAAATTTCTCTCGCTGTCCTCCTAACAGAGCAAGCTCAGATCAATGTCCTGACCAAGACATCGTGTTCAAAATGGCTCAGCTTCCTCTGGCCCTTGATCAGATTAGTTGCTTTTTTTCTTCTGGGATTCAAGCATGGCGCATCTCTTATCCCAGCCGATAAGAGATGACAGCAGGGCCTGGCCAGGGGAAGCTGAAATTTGTGTCGCGGACTCCAGAATAATAAAGACCTAAACATTCGAGTCTAAGTGTCTTGAGGTTTTAGCAGTGACTGAGTAAGACCAATTTAATCCATAATCGAAGCTGAGCAGGGTAGGCACTGCCTGTGGGGCACCAATGAATATGGCCCCCGCCCACCCGTGCCAGCTCTTCTCTGACACTTTCTATGCGCCTCCAGCCTAAGCCTAAATCCTGGCGCCTCAGAGCTGGGCTTTTCCAAGCCACGTGCTCTCCATCCCACCTGCCTCCCCTTTAGGTCATCTCCTCAGGGGTGCGGTTGTCGCGGGCTGCCTGCAGGGTGGGAGCTCAAGCCAGGCTTGGACAGCCCAGTCTTTTTCCAATGGTGTGATGAGTAGAGTTCTCCCCTCAGCTCTGCCAAACTCTGGAGTTCCCTACTCTGGGCCCTGCCATCTGTGGCCAAGGCGATTCTTTTTTTTTTTTTTTTAAGATTTATTTATTCATACAGAACTGGGGTACAGGCCAGAGATGCAGAGGGTGAGAGGATTCACCAGGGACAGAGTGGGGAGCAGAACAGGCAGATCGACGAAGTACACTGCTGAGGGGAGCAGCGGGCGGTCCAGGAGAGGTCTGCCGCGCCATGTGGTCACCTCCAGGGCAGGCGGGGATCGAACTCATGTGGAAGCAGCTCTAGATTCTCAGTGCTGCTCTTTAACCCGCTGCACCACCAGGGAGGGCCCCAAGGTGGTTCTTTGCCAGAACTGCCCAGGGAGGGCTCACATATTCCGCCAAGACTTCTATCAGAACTAAATGTCCCCCGGTCCTTATTACTGTCCCCTCTAGAGCCCGGCTCCAGGCCAGGTCCTCAGCACAGGGGCTAGTTTTTAAGCTCCCTTTTCGAGGATCTAGAGTCAGTCCTCTTGCATGATTTGAGACGTAGTTTGCAGTCTGCGCAGAGCTCTGTGAACTTTCCAATGGCCGTTCATCAATTCCTTTGAGAGTGGGTGCTCGTTGGCGACTACGGCCTCAGCTACACAGAACACGGCCCTCTGGCACCATCAGGAAATTGTCTTTTTAGGTATTTCCCTCTATAAGCTATGGCTCTTTAAGGTCTTGATTTCATTCATTTCAAAACAGTCGATGCCTAGACAGAACAGGTGCTCAGTGAATATTTTCGAATGGACGCCACTAATAAAAGAACAGACTGTGGGGTGAGAAGCACTCCGAGTCTGGTGACCCTGAACTGATCCTTCACCATTTCTATTTCTAGGGAGTGTTCTGGGCCTCCAAGTCTCCCCAGAGTAAGGAAGACTACTCAGTCCACCTGAACAAAAATAGTCCTGAAACTCTCTAAAGGGAAAAGGCAGTTCCTCTCGACTCTCGGGGCCCCTCCTCAGCACCGGGCCCTGTTTCAGGTTCCCGCACCTCACAGCCAAGCCCAGCCCAGTCATTCCCTGTTTAGGCCCTTGGGAGAAGCCCACCCCCTGTGCCAAGGTCCAGCAGGGCACACGGCACCAGCCAGACCAGGCATATGCCTGCCAGTGCTGGCTTCACCTGACAGGGCGCCAAAGTTGGGCTTGGCCTCTCTTGAGGTTAACCTGAGCAAGGGAGAGTCACCTGCCGAGGGATAAATATGCGGGCAAAATCAGGACTGTTTCACAAGGAGGAGAGGGGCAGAGTTGTCGTCAATCCTCTGCAAGCCACACAGCCTACCTGCAAGCCACACAGCCTACCTGCAAGCCACACAGCCTACCTGCAAGCCACACAGCCTACCTGCAACGAGCTGGAAGCCGGCCAGGTAAGTCTTCTTAAAGAAAGTAGCGCTCGGGCAGAGTCTGGGAGGATAACTCAGTGCTTATCGGATAAGCAGGAGGGGAAGAACGTTCCAGGCAGGGGGAGGAACACAAACAGCACAGGATGTCTGGGCTTTATCAGACATGCTCCAGGTGCTCGGGCCAAACTAGGTGGAAGAGGGGATCTGGAGGCTGGAGCTGACAGCGGAGCTACTCTAACCACCTGGATGGGCAACGGGAGCCCTACAGGACCAGGTGGGGAGCATGTGCAGTCCCAGAAAGGTTTCCGGCAGCGCTCCAGGTGAGCCTGTGTGCCTGAGTGTGAAGCGGGGAGCCAGCGCTGAAGGAGCACAACCACCCACAGCTGCGCCCCAGTCTTCCCGCCCCGATCTGGGCCTGGGCCCACCCCCTGGAGCAGTGGATCGGCCTGGGCCCACCCCCGGAGCAGTGCCCTGACCAGCCTCTGAGCCGACACTGGCGGTCTTTCTATGGGTTTGTGACATGACCCTGGTCCGTGTCTCTGTCCTTGTAGTGGGGATGTGATTTCCAGTGCCCAGACACAGGCCACAGGGAGCTGACATGACTCGGAGCCCTATACTGAGCCTGAGGTCCTAGAGAATCCCAAGGCCTCGTGGACATCCCCTCATGCTATTGGCTGAATTTGGCCCTTTCTGGCGCCCCGGTGTCCTGGTACTACCATTGTTTCCTGCCAGTCCAGACCTGACTGGGGCTGCCCACCCCACCCCACCGCAGAGCTCCAGTGGAGTCCCGGGGTCCTGGCTTAGGGATCATAGTGGCACCACCGCTGTGGTACTCTGTAACGGGACGGGCGTCGGTGTCTCCCAGACCAGACCGCCGGGGTACGTGACACTCAGTCCCACCTGGACGTGCTCACCTCACTGACGGCCCCAACCAGCTCAGCGCAGGGCCGCAGTTTGTGTCCAGCTCTTCTGGTCCAGACTCGGTGATCTCCTGTCCCCGGTGCTTCTCCCTGTGCCTTGCTGCTAGGGTGACCAGGTGGATCCTGGGTGAACCCTGACTGCCCCTCTCCCCACACACACCTGGCTGTCACTCCTCACAGATAAACTCCCCACCCCACCTCTACCTCACCACAGTCACAAGTTAACCACATCCCCAGGCCATTCTGTACAATCTGGTCAGGGTGTGTGGACCTAGGGAGGCCTGTCCTGGTGTTTCCTTGCCTTCGGGACCCCTTGGCCAGCGCTATTTGACACCCTCTCGGCCCATTCCCAGGTTTGTGTTCTAAGGGAAAACGCCGTGAGGTGAGCCCTTTTGCATCTTGGAAGATGCGACTGCTCCACCCTCCTCACCTCTCCAGGTGACCATAGGTGACCTGCAAAGCTCCCTTCTTCAGCCAAAGATGCTCCCACGTTGGCACAGGCGTCAGGGTCTACACCACCACTTCCGTGCTGCAGGCTGCCGCAAGCTGGTGTAGAACCTGGTCTCAGAGTGCCCTCTTGTGGTAGAAAGTCTAATCGTCAGCTTAAGAGCTGGCCCCAATTTCTTTGGTAAAGATACACCTTGGTTTCACTCATAGCAGGAGTATAATGGACCAGGCGAGAAAATAACAAAAATAATGAACAACCATATACCAGAGACATTCTATGGGGGTGGAGTGGGGAATGGGATCAAAAATGGGGGGGGGGGTGGAAGGGAGGGAAATGCACGGGACTATGGTGGTGGCACAGGGGTGATTTGGTGATGGGAAACCCGCGGGGATTACAATCGAGATGGAAAAAAAGAAATGTGCAAAATGATGTAAAAATAAACTTTGTAATAAAAAAATTAAAAATAAATAAATAAAAATTTACATCTAAAAAAAAAAAAAAAGAAGATACACCTTGGGCTTCATGGCCCGTGCATGTTACACTGATTCCTACGTGTTTCTTTGTTAATTGGTTGCTTTTAAAATATTAAATGTAACATGTATCTAGCAATAGAAATTTCAGAGACCACAGAAATAAAGTTAAAAGTTTCTGGTATAAAACAGATTATCTTCACCACCTAGGTAGGAAAATATTTCTGAGACAAATTCAGACACGGTAATTACTATTTGTAGTCTATATATCTGTATGGTACAGTATCTATTAATAGAAATAGAATAAGTACAGCTTCTATGAATGCACTACATAGCAATATTCTAGCCTATCAATGGAAAAACGTTGGTAAATTACACTTTATCTAAATTTTAATTTTCACCAGAGAGAAAATCGCTAAGTCAAAGACTGGAAGGAAGGTTCACAAAACATACCAAAGAAGGTACTTGCTGCCAGAATCTTTAAGAATTACTACAACTCTTGGTCAAAGAGTTCTAACTGCCAGTGATAAGATTATTACCATAATTAATTTTAATTAATAAGTTCTGAATTCAACATGCACATGGTGAGTATAATTAATGCTACTTTATTATATACTGAAAAATCGATAAAAGAATAAATATTGAGTTTTCTTACTGTTAAAAAGATTAAGTAATTGCGTGTTGCGATGAAAGTTAGCTAGCCTCACGGT